ACGGTTTATTTAATTAAAAAGAACCGTTTCGCAACGGTTTATTTAATTAAAAAGAACCGTTTCGCAATGGTTTATTTAATTAAAAAGAACTGTTTCGCAACGGTTTTTTAAATTGTTTTAATATAAACCGTTGCGAAATAGTTTATTTAACTAAAAATAACCATTTCGCAACGGTTTTTTATTGTCTTAATAAAAAATATTGCGCAAAATGTTTTTTATTTTCTAAGATTCAGATCCGATCTGGATCTGATCCGATTTGAATGAATAACTGATCCGATTCAATTCGATCTGAAATGGATCAAATTTTTTTGATTCGGATCGGATCACGGATCATAAAAAAGCTGATCCGATCTATTTCAGATCAGATCCGCGGATACGAATTAGATCAGATTTTTTTCAGAACACTACATATAATGCAAATTCTGTATCAAAATTATTTGATAGTCAAATTCACTGGTCAGAATAGTCCATTTCGGCAAAATTTTAAATTGCCGAATGTTGGACGAAATTTGGTCTGACCTTAACCAATCAGTACCAAAAAAATCGGCAACTAATTTTATAAACGATTTGCACTGTAACGCCTGCCACTTGTCAACAAATCGATCAGTAAAATTGGCAACAAATCGGTAAAATCAAATTGACGATTGTTAATAAACCTAATAATTATTACTGATTTTTGTACATTTAGCTGATTTTAATTTTTATAATAACAATTTATTGATTAAATTTTATTAATTCATTTTATTAAAAATTGCATATTAAATTATTATCTATCTATCATTTATATACACCATTTACCATCCACCATCCATCATCCACCCATAATCTTCACCTGACCTGATAAAAATCTGAAGAAAACTACGAGAAAATGGCCAATAACTCATTTTTTAAATAAAAAAATTGGGTTTGAAAGAAATTTACCCAATCTAATAAAATCCGAAGGGGAAACTTACAAAAAAAGTAAAGAAATGGTTGGTTAACCATTTCTTTTAATAAAAAAAATGAAGTTTCAAAAATTTTTTGAAACTTTACCTGGAATATCAGTATCCACACTGGAACCGATTTTCTATAAAAAAAAAATATAAAAAAATCATTTTTTAGCTAAAAACGTTTTTTTTAAGTAAGTTTCGAAAATCTATCGAAACATTACCTAAGGAAATGGTAGAACTGATTCCCTACAAAAGAAAATAAAAAAAAATGTTAATATAACGTTTTTTTTAATAGTTTTGAATTTTTTTCGAAACTACTTAATGGGATTCAGTATCTAAGTCAGAACCGTTTCCCTACAATAAAATAATAATAAAAAAATGTTAATAAACGTTTTTTTTTAAATAGTTTTGAATTCTTTTTCAAAACTAACCAATGGGATTTGGTATTCACGCCGGAACCGATATCCCTACAAAAAAAATAAAAAAAACGTTAAAATTAACGTTTTTTATTAAAGTTTCAAAATTGTTCAAAACTTGCCTTTGGGATTCGGTATTCACGCTGGAACTGAATTCCTATATAAAAATAATAAAAAAAAAACGTTTTTAATATAAAAACGTTTTATTAAAGAAAGTTTCGAAATTTTTTTTTGAAACTTATCTTTGGGATTCGGTATCCACGCTGAAACCGAATTCCTATATAAAAATAATAAAAAAAAAACGTTTTTAATATAAAAACGTTTTATTAAAGAAAGTTTTGAAATTCTTTTTTCGAAACTTATCTTTAGGATTTGGTATCCATGCTGGAACCAATATCCCTATAATTATTTATATAAAAATAATAAATTTATACTAGATAATGCAAAAAAAACTAATTAATTATATAATTTTTAATTTTTTTTTAATATAAGATATCATTAAAATTTAAAAGATCAAATATAACTCTCATGACAAAATCATTAATAATTTTTTGTAGAAATAAGCTATATAAATAAATTTATATTCATTTGAAAAAAAAAATCAAGATCTATCTAATGAATCTAAAATAAAGTGAATTGAATCACTAGTTGTTCAGTAATCACGTTCAGTATATTTATTGAATTTTATCTAAATTTGATTATTAATTACTTCACATGTAGTGATTCAATTTGAATGATCTTTGCTCCCTAAGGTGATGCCAACTTTTATCTTTAAAATAAATTTAAAATAATTTGTTTAATATATATATGTAGATATTCAGGAATCATCAATTATATTATTAATATAAAATTTTATAAATTTAATAAAATCTAATATAAAAAAATTTATTAAATACTTGTAAATGTAAGCTACATGAATGAAATTATATTCATTTGAAAGAGAAAATTGAGGTCTATCTAATAAGCCTAAAATCGAATAAATTGAATCACTGGATTGTGAATAATTATGTCCAACTAATATATTTATTTTTAATTTTTAAATTTGATTCGATTTTAATTGTACGCCTCATCCAGTAATCCAATTTTCCTGATCTTTAATTCTTACAATAGAGCAAATTCTCAGCTTTCAAATAAATGTAAAATGATAATGTTAGCATATCTCCAGAAATAATAATATATGATTTTGTCACTTGCATAAAGTCCAATCTGAAAATTTTATTTCTTAGTAAAAAATGCTTTCATAAGAGAATCCCAAATTCTTTTACTTTATTTAAAAGATTTTATTTGCTATTTAAGGATTTTAATAGAATAAATCTAATAAAATAATTTTAAAAGATAAAAAACAAATATATAATTAGTTATTTTGAAAAAAAAAGAATATCTTATTATTTATTTTACAACTATTTTACATTATAATTATTTTTTATTTACATGTATTTTTTACAAAGAAAAAACAATAAATTAAAACTAAAAATTATGAAAAAATGTCTTTTCTATATATATAAAATATTAAGTTTTTTCTTTTACTTACCACTTAAAAATAACTGCTATATTTGCTTATAAACTTTTTTGTCATATTTAATAAAAGTGAATAAAAAAATGATGGAAAAGTAATGGATAGTGATGGGAAAAAAAAAGTGGTTATTACTGTTATTTTTGAATATTGATTAAAAAAATTTTTTTATTTTTTATTAAATCTGAGTTACATAAATATGTAACACATATTTAATTTAGATTTATGTAATGTTTAATCTTACTAAAATATTAAATTTTTATTATAAAAATCTTAATTTAAACTAATTTCAAAAATTTGCACATATAAGAAGAATGTTTTTTATTATTACTTTCTGTTTCAGTAATTTTCCAATGCTTCCAAACTTTTCTTTTCTTTTTTCCCATAATTGCAAGTATAGTTGTTTCCGAAATTCAATTGGCAAATCCGAAATCCGAAATTACGAAATCATAATTAATTATGTAATTACGTAATTAATTACGTGTTACGAAATTAATTACGTATTCCGAAATTCCAAAATTTGCATAATAGTGCGAAATTGCGAATATCTCAGGATCTAGTGATCAGATTTCGATGATCTTACTACCATTCGATTCGTCGCATCGAGACGAATCTAATGATATGTGTTTCATTTCTATAGCACCGATATTGATGGAGTAAAATTACTATAAACATTTAATGAATTTTGGTGTCGGATCACGATCTAGTGATTAGATTTGAATAAATTTACCACCATTCGATTCGTCATGACGAGACGATTCTAATGGCGGTAAGATCATCTTTCTAGCATTGAAATTGGCGGAGCTATTACGCTATAAATATTTAAAAGTTATTGGTATCGGAGCGCGATCTAGTGATTGGATTTAATTGATCTTACTACCATTAGAATCGTCTTATCGACACGAATCAAATGGTAGTAAGATCATCCAAAACGGATCACTGGGTGCCGAGTTATTATTTGTTAAAGTTTTTATATATAAATCGGCCAAAATTAAGGCTAATTCTGGCCAAATATTTTCGTAATACGAAATTAATTACGGAGTCCGAAATTAATTACGGAATACANAATTAATTACGGAGTCCGAAATTAATTACGGAATACAGAGTTTTTCTAATGAATTACTTAATAATTACAGAATTACGTAATTACGTATTTCCGTAATACTAAAATAATTTCGGATACAAGTATAATTGCAAGAATTTTTTTTAAAAATTATGTAAAAAAAAAAATATATTAAAAAAAAAGAAAAAAAGATTATCAAGTTATACAAGATATAAATTATAAAATAAATCTATACCATTTTTTGCCAAATTATAATTAAAATTACATGACTTAAATTCTGCATTTTTATTGGTTAATTTAAAGTAATGGTTAATTAACCATTTTAAACTAATTATAAGTAATATAATTAACGATTAATTAACATCCATCCCTAGTTCAGACTCTACAATCAGAAATATAATAATGGTGACTTAGTTATTGCACAAAATCTACAAAATCTGATTTACTGATCTGTACTTCATCTCATGATTTATCAAAACTTACCAACTCCTGAAACTCTTCTAAAACTATTGAAGAACTAGCAGAGAACTAGGGAAGATTTCATGTAATATGATATACAATATGAAAATGGAACAAACGAAACAGATATTTTAAAATAGCAATATTATTTGAAAATATGAATGAACTTAATAACAATTATGATTATTATTAGTTCATTAGTAATATAGAAAGTAAAATAAAAAAAAAAAGATGGAAATAGATTTGCCATCCCACTATGCAGAATTCCTGAAAGTTGTATTCAATAATTTTAATGCAGAAATTATTGATGATAAATTATTTATTAAGGTAAGTACTATCCTATGATAATTTTACACTCATTCACATTCTTATTTATTTATACGTAATTTAGTATGATAATATGACAAAAGAGGATATTCATTTTGAATTGAAGAATTTACTTAAGCAACAATTAACAGAATGGAAATTTTCAATCAATATGATATGTGTCGTTATTAGAAATACATATAAACTTGATGTAGGCAGATGGCTTATTTTCCCAATGGTTGGTCAAAAACATAGACCAATCAAAAATAAATGCCTAACATCCAGGCTGTAGATTAAAGTAATGCATAATTTATGAGCTAAATGTGTATTTCTTAAGGTCTTATTAAATTTATTAAAATATTTAATTGCAGATTTACACAAATAATCCTGATGATTGTGATTATGCTTTAAATAAAATTAAGTCTTTATTATCAGTATTATGTATAAGGTTAGTTACTATAAGTAATGATTATTATATATCAAATTACAACCTTTAGCAGTTGTAATATTATAAATATAAGCTGTAAATTGGCTGTAAATACTACATCATTATGATTAACTAAAAGATGGTAATTCTGATTTACAACTGTTATATTTACTTGATTTTTGAACTTACAACTATTTATGGAGACTAATACTAGTTATGTAACACTGAGTTTGTCATAATCACTATTCTAATAATGGAAAATGCAATTTGTGTAAATCCCTGGCCAAAAGGTTGTATAACTCTAGTATATGCAGTCAGAATTGGCATTAATAATTGACTAGTAAGAGCCACTTATATTGATCATTGGCCAGTAAATTCTAGTTACCAAACTTTTTTTAATTGGTATCATACTAGATAGAATCAGTATATTACTTTTGAATATGATATAAGGATTTATTTTAATAATATACTCAATCAATTGACATAAAAAAGAAAATTTCTTTTATATCTATAATATTGCTTTAACTTCTGCTATATTATATAGACTTTCTATTAATTTATTGTAAAATTAGTGTAAACATCTATCTGTACATCAATCATAAGTTAAAAAAATAAAGTTTCTTACATTTGCTTACTGCTTACATTTTTTGTCTATTTATGGTATATGATATATCAAAATAATGATAATAAATTTGACAAAATGATCAATATTACTTATTCATTATTTGTGCCAATATAGTAAGTATAAATTTTATGTAATGAATTTTTTTCCTCATTAAAAAGAAATGAATGCTACCATAAAGTATATAAGGATTGAATTGGATGCTAAGTCTATAAATAGTATTGATAATTAATCAGCAAGAAGTCAAAATATTAGTATACAGCCATTTCTTCCTAATCTTTAAAGCTAAAAAGACTTACACATTATTTATAGAAATAGAGACAAGTAGAATCCAAACAGTGTTTTATGAATTATGTATTAATATTCTTAGTACTGTTACATTCATATGAAATAAAAGAAATTATTGAGATTTAACTCATCAATATGGAGGTCTTTTTTTAAAAGTAAAAGTGATTTTAAAGATCTAATTTTAAGTAATGGTGAGAATATGAATTATTACATATATAAGTACTATTTTAATATTTACAGCATAACATATACATGATTGAATATTTTAAGATAATTCCTTTAATATGTCTCCAATTCTTCAGATGATTCCTCTGAAATCGATTTAAATCACCTCATTTTGTCGACTAATTTGTAGGGCTAATCCAAATAAGATGGAATGCCTTTATCAATATACTATTGAACATGGGCTTGATCTTAAGAAATTCTTAATTGTTATTAAAGCTGAGAAAAAAAAGATGGGCTACACTAATCTTCTGTGATAACTTGAGAATTTTATTGTAAAATAATAGAGAGAAAGGAAAATCCTAAGAAATATCATAAATTTCTAACAGATCATAAAAGGATAATTGGTAAAGAGCTGTTATGTCATAATATTTTAAAGTACCATTTAAGCACTGCATGATTTGATGTGTAGTTGGTATTGGGTATATATGATTTATCAAGTAAACCGCATTTTATTATAGAACTTTCTGAAAATTTCTGATATATCTTTTATTATATAATTCTAAATTACTATACATCCTGATTTATCTGCAGATTGTAAGATAGAGCGTCATTAAAAAGAAATTTAAAAATGGAAATAAAGCTGATTAAAATCTATGATTTACAGATCTTCAGATAAACGGTAATTTTTATTATTTTATAGTAGGTTAATTATGTATTAATCTGTTTTTTCAATATGTAATTCGTTATCTACAGATCTTGATTCATGATAAACAAATATTTTAATTTTTTGTAATTATTATGATTGAAATAGGGGTTATGAACTTAAACAAAGATACACCACATGTGATTTTCTGTTTCGTAAGAGATTTTAGAAATAAATGGAAAATTTTGAGACACAGCATTATTCCATTAGTATTATATTAAGTTGTCATAAAACCATAATTTGTCAGATTTATTTTAAACATTATTGTTAAATATGCCTCAAATTTAGGGGAAAAAATTTGTTATTATTAAACGGGATTCAGGCTGTTACTATTACTTTAGCTGAAAAATATAATTATGAAAAATGTAATTATGACAAATACATATAATAAAGCAAAATAATTTTTATTAAATCAGATTAAATTTTCTTTTCATGTGTAGTAAGCAAACAGTATAAACCAAACCTTTTTTTCAGCGTATTTTACACAATAAAATTGCATATTAAAAAAAATCAATCATTAATATCTAAAAAATTTAATTCACTAATAATCTCTTAATAAAATTACATATCAATTTACCTAATCATGTCCAGTTTGTCATTATTTAACTCTTCAGAAGTCATGCCTTTTTTAACTTTAACCGCTGTTTTTTTGTTCATTGATCTAGTGTTATTTATAGGTAATCAAATATCAAACAAAAAGTCTCTGATAAACTCTATGTATGTACCATTGAAATTATTGACAATTTTGATACACCAGAAATAGAAAAGACCTTTACTGAATTTAACAATAAGCTCACAACAAAAGTTAACACAAGTATTTCCAATTTTAAATCCATATTCATTATAAAAATTAGCAAAATTTATGCTAAAATCAATGGTAAATTTACTGTAGAAGTTGAAAAAACAAGGCATGTGATGATAATTTTACTAAAAAAATGCAAAAAATTTTGAATGACATAACTACAAAAGTTAATAATATTGAAAAAGCCTGCCATAATGAATTTGGCAGAATTAATATTATTATTAAAAATCTCTAAAATAAAATAAATCCCTATAAAAAGTATTTATATTTAAAATATAATTAAAAACTTTTTAAAATATATTTAAATTATACTTAAAATATATTTAATTTAAAAATTGCGAAATACTTATAATATACTTAAAATGTATTTAAAATTATCTTAAAATATATTTATAATATATTTAATTTTTGCCAAAATACTTAAAATATACTTAAATTATACTTAAATCAAAATTTAAGTATATTATAGATATATTTTTTACATACTTAAAATATACTTATAATATATTTTATAATATATTTTAAGTATATTTTAAATACATAAAAAATATACTTATAATAGTCTTATAATATACTTAAATTTTAATTTAAATATAATTTAAATATATTTTAAGTATATGGGCAAAAATTAAATATATTAGACATATGTTTTAAGATAATTTTAAGTATATTTTAAGTATTTTGCAATTTTTAAATTAAGTATATTTTAAATATATTTTAAATATATTTTAAGTATAATACTTTTTATAGAGAATTAATTAACATTACGCAGTAGTTTAAAGAATTGAATTTGATCAATAAAGTATAACTAATAATTCTGAAGCTAAATTGAGAAATTCAGGAGACTCTATCTCAGCAGCTTCAACTATTCATCTTCAAGCTCTTCTTCTTCTGGAAATTCCAATTTATCTGAAATTTTAAATATTACTTTAAACATTAAAATTTGCTTTAAATAACACTTTGATCAACTTATAAAAGTAAGAAATTATACTTTTGATGAGATGTGCTTCTCAGTAATAATTAATATTTGTAATTTTGGAGGAAATATTAAGATTTCAACAGTGAAAATTTTTTATAATGGTGTTAGTGGTAGTAAAGTTAGCACAATTAATTGCCAGTCTGCCACTCAACAGTACAAAATGATTGGCAATCTATAATTAATTTTGACAGACTTTTATATATTAAATACTATTGCTTTGGAATGGTGTTTGTTAGAGTTTCGAACGGGTTAGGTCAACCCAGGTGATCTGACAGGTTAACCTGAAAAATTTAGGTTGGGTAGCAAATTTAATGACCTGACCTCAGGTCAGGTCAGTCACAAGTCGGGTACCTGACCTGACCCGTTGATCCGATATATTTTGGGACAATAAAAGACGTTTTGGCATTTTTTATATATAAAAAATGCCAACCCATTTTTTTTGACCTGAATCTGACGTTTGTTCATAAAAATAATAATAATAAACGTCTTTTTTTAATGAAAAAATGCTGAACCCAACGTTATTTCATTAAATAAATCAAAAAAACATTTTTTTAATAAAAAAACGCTGAACCTGACATTATTTCATTAAATGAATGAAAAAAAACATTTTTTAATGAAAAAAATGCTGAAACTGATGTTATTTCATTAAATGAATAAAAAAACGTTTTTTTAATGAAAAAACGCTGAACCTGACGTTATTTTATTAAATGAATAAAAAAACATTTTTTTAATAAAAAACGTATAACCTAACGTTATTTCATTAAATAAATCATAAAAAGACATTTTTTTAATGAAAAAAAGCTGACCTGACATTTTTCATTAAATGAATCAAAAAAACGTTTTTTTTTAAACATTAACGAGTCAGATCAGGTATCCAACCCGATCTGATATAAAAAACATTTTGGCATAATCTAATATGTAAAAAAATACCAAAACGTTCTTTTTCACAAAATAATTGTAAAAAAAAACGTTTAGAGTTTTTTCTTATAATTTGATATATAAAAAACGCTGAAACGTTTTTTTTGATCTAAAATATCAGGTCAACGGGTCAGATCAGATACCCAAACTGACCTGTGATATTTGGATCAGGTTGTCAAATTCGTGACTCCTCCTCGGGTCAGGTTAAGTCAATTACCCAACCCTACCTGACCCGTTCAGAGCTCTAGTGTTTGCACTATCTTAAAAACACATTACAACAATATAAATACTTCAAAAATTTGCTAGAAAAAGGTATTACATTACCTGGGTGTGTTTTCAAAAACCGGTAGGATCAAGGTGTGCCAAAAAAAAAAACTAAAAAAGAAAAATAAAAAAATATATTTTTTTTTGTTATTTTGTTAATTTGGTAAAAAAATAATATATATTTTTCAATAGTGTAAAAAAAAACCTCGTAAAATTTGCAAAATTCATGTATAAAAAATCTTATCTTAGCTAAAATATAAGGTGGAATAGTGACTTCCTCCAAGGTAAACTTGTTAAATTTTATATTGAACAATAAAAAATTTTTTTTTTGTGGCTTATTCACGTTTAATGTTATTGATTGGTGAGTCATTGTTACATTTAAACGTGATCTTGTGAGACAAAATCAACATCAAAATATGCCAATTAACGTAATTCATATAAAATCTGCACCAGATCTACAAATTAATTTTGTACCGTTGAGTGATGGACTGGTAATTAATCAGATAAACGCATAAGTAGCTAGTTTTAATAATAATGCAAAATAGTGGGGAAGGAACTGCCATTATATGGGTTGGGACTTGGCAAAATTTCTCCTTAAAACAACTTGCTATTCTATTGTTTTTTACATTCATTTTTTACTTAGCCAGCTGGCCTTTTCTCATGTATTATTTCATAAAAATATAATAAAGATTTTACTTTAAGTTTTTTAAATATGTTTAGTATTTCACAAGTGATAATATATTTTTTGCTCTTGTATTTTACTGAATATAAAATTTACTAAACTACACAGGTCAAAAAGTGAAAAATCAGGCATCAATCAGTTACCAATCAGTCACCAATCAGGTAGCTGATTGGTGACCGATTGGTAACTAATTGGCATTTTTGCCAAATACCATCACCAATTAGGCAATTTGCTAACTTTTAATCTAGTGATCAGAAAAGAATGAAATATAGCTCATTGGAATCATCTTAACAAAACGAATCTAATGGTAGTAAAATCGCATTTCTAGAATTAATAGTTAATAAAAATGAAATAAAATATGAATGATATATTTTTATTTTTACATTTTACTTAATTTCTTATCAAGAATTAATCCTAAAAATGCGATTTTACTACCATTAGATTCGCCTTGTTAAGGCGATTCCAATGAGCTATATTTCATTCTTTTTTGATCACTGGATCAAAAGTTAGTAAACTGCCTGATTGGTAACGGTATTTAGTGAAAATGCCGATTGGTGGCTGATTGATACCTGATTGGTGACCGATTGGTGACTGATTGATACCTGATTTTTCACTTTTTGACCTGTGCTATTCACTATTTTATACTAATAAAAAAAAATCTTATTCCTATTGCTTATCTGATCCTCTATTATAATTGAATGTCAATAGATCAAGATTTAAAGAGGTGAAATCTGATTGGCTGATTATCTTGTGATTTATAGAAACTCGCCAGCTTCTGGAATCCTCCTATAACTATGAAGAACTGGCAGGAAATTAGGGAGATCATGAGATCATATGTGATATAAATTTTAGCCAAAGGTGCTGTGCATAATTTAGCTATTTATAGTGATCAGATATAATTATAACATCAGGAAAAAATATGAATCTGTTTTTTACTTTAAAGTTCTTTAAACAAAGGCTAAAAATGAATTTGGATTTAACAGTATATACAGTTAAACCTTGATCATCAGGAAGTTTTGGATGGATGTATAATGTGTTGAACAATGTCATATGTTGCTCAACGCCAAAAAATGTTGAGCAATGAACCCTTTGTCAACTAACGCTACTTAAAAACATTGAAAAATGCGTGGTACAACAGTGTTTTATGTGTAAAATAACGTACAGTAAAACAACACTAGTTTAATAACATGTATTTAATGTATAAAAACATGTATATCGATATTAAAAACATGTATAGCAATGTGTTTTTTAGTTAGTTAATTTAATAGGATTAATTTATTAACATATATATATTATTGTATATTATTAAATTGTAAGTTTATTGATAAATACAGTTACAATACAAATTACATTATCTAATGTAAAATTATTAAATTGTCTAATTAAAATTAATTCCTCTTATTATAATTGGATTGCCACAGATTTTTAAGCGATCAATGTACTAAATTTCTGTTGACATATATAGTGCCTCTGGTGACATAACCATAATAAGATGAGGTTTCAATAAAAAAAACACAAAAATTAAGTTTTGTTAACAAAACTTACACAATCTGATCCAATATTCCAAAAACCTGACCGAAACCTACAAAAGAAAAGAGAAAATTTAAAAAAAAATAAAAAAAATAAAATAAAAAATGTAAGTTTTATTCAAAACTTACTGATTCATTTCAAGATGTTAATCTACAGCAACATCACGTCTAATGTTGAGAAATCTAACTAAAAATCCAATGCTAAAGGAACTGAAAAAAAATAAAATAAAAAACAAACTAAAAAAAATTATTAGATAAGTTTTGAATAGAAACTTATCATACTGGCATAATAATAAAAAAAATTCAAGATATACAAATCTTGGTTTTTCCATCCATCAGAACACGAAAGTCCACCTGATCCTAAAAAAAAAAAAGAACGGTTATAATTAACCATTTATAATCTTAAAAAAAAGAAAAAGAACTAAAGATTCATAATACTTATGAACTTTAGTTTTCCTTTTTCTATTCTTCAGAACTCAGAAGTCTAAAAAAAAAGAAAGAACGGTTATTAGTAACCATTCATTAATATTAAAAAAAAAAATAAAAAAAATTAAAGCAAGATTTATACTTATACTTATGAATCTTGGTTTACCATTTGTCAGAAGTTCACCTGAACCTATAAAAAAAAAAGAAAGGAATGGTTAGTAAACCGTTCCATAATAATAAAAAAGAAAAAAAAATTTAAGATTTGTAATATAATACTACTTATGAATCTTAAAAGTATGTCCTTCGGAAGTCCATCCCTTTCTTTCCCCTTTTGTTTTATTTTAAAAGTTATATAATAAGAACATTTTCTTTATTTTTGTAATTTTTTTGTTGCGCCACAACGCCTAGCTGCGCCACTAACCTGGCACACATTTTAGATATGCGATTACATATGTGATGCGTACTCACTAGCCTGCTGTAGTCGTAATTATTAAGGTTCTGTATTTTCCCCAAGTAAGGCATACATGTTGATTTTATTCACATGGTCAACAATTAATACTATTTTAACACCTTACGTTAAACAGTAGGTCCACACCACATTGACTATAAAACTTAAATGTCAAAAACATATTCACTCTTTAAAAACACTAAAAACACTGAATAACTACTTTTACAAACTACTGTAATAAGAAAAAAAAAATGAATTGTAAAGATTTATCTGCTACTTTACTAAAAAATATTTCTCGGCTTCTTATTGAAGCAGATGACTATAATGTATTCATCACAGTTGGAGAAGAACCAAATGTTGAAATATTTCAAGCCCATTCAGTTATTTTACGTGCTATGTCTCCTTATTTTCATGCTGCTTTATCAATAAATTGGGCTCAAAAAGCAGGTCATAAATTTCATTTTAAAAAACCGAATATTAATCCCAATATTTTTAAAATTATTTTACAGTAAGTTCAATTCCTTTTTTATAAAAAAAGAAATATATGTATTTCAATTCAAATAATCATTTTTATAAAAACACGTAATTCGATAGATATATTTATACAGGAACCATTCGTTTGGATGATGAAACAAGCGATCTTAATCTTGTCGAATTACTTACAGCATCAGATGAATTAGTTCTTATGGATCTTGTAGACTATATTCAAGAATATATTATTAGTTTAGATAGAATATGGTATCAAAAAAATTTAATCCAAGTGTTTAATACAGTATCATGTTATGAAGGGGTTTTTGAAAAATTAAGAGATCATTGTATTGAATTAATTTCAGTAGATCCTCAATTACTTTTTAACTCGGAAGAATTTAGTATATTGCAAGAAGAAGCATTAATTTTAATTTTAAAACAAAATAAGTTACAAATTAGAGAAGTTGAATTATGGAATTATTTAATTCAATGGGGAATTTTTCAATCTCATTTATTTGAAGATAAAACGACAAAAGATTTAATAAATTGGTCATCAGAAGATTTTGAAACTTTGGAAAAAATACTTCATAATTCTGTTCCTTTTATTAGATTTTTTCAAATGTTACCAGAAGAATATTTTTATAAAGTTAGACCTTATAAAAAATTATTACCGAAACAACTTAAAGATGATCTTAAATTATATTTTATTATACCAAATAGTAATTTAACTACAACAATTTTACCACCAAGAATTCCGAAATTTATGCTTAATTCAAGTATTATTACATTAAAACAATCTTTAATAATTTCAAGTTGGATAGATTATAAAGATGATTCATCAATGTATACATCACAACAGGAAAATCCTTATAATTTAATATTACTTTTACGTGGAAATCGGGATGGTTTTGGTGTAGAAGAATTTCGTGAAAAAGTATTTAAACAAGGACCAACAATTGTTGTTATTCATCTAGCAGGATCAAAAGATATTATTGGTGGTTATAATCCTTTAGATTGGACTGGTTCAAATAAATTTAATCAATCTACTGATAGTTTTATTTTTTCTTTTCGCTCTGAAAAAAAATCTTCTATCACTACTTTAAGTAGAGTTGCTAAAGAAAAAAGTGCTATTTCTGATGATGATGGTCATTTTATTGGTTTTGGTCATGGTGATTTAAAAATCTTTCAAAGTGTTTGTCAAAAGAAAGATTATATGTGTCCGATTCATGATCTACATTCTTTTCAAATGTCCAATTATGAAGTTTTTAAAGTTGTTAAAAAAGAAATTAATTAAAATATAATTATCTATTTAGGGAGGGAGGTGGGAATTATAGATATCAATGTATAAAATAATTACTGTACTGTATAGTATGTAAACCTTTTTAATATTAAATATATGTTCAAAAATTGTCAACAAGTTTGAATAAAGATAAATTTACAGAATTATTTTAATAAAAAATATTATTAAGAACATTAATTGTCTCGTAGTACTAGAAAAGAACACAAAGTACAATAAAGAAATTTATTTTAGTTCTTAAATAATTTACTATAATTAATTATATTATACAACTTTTTCCTAATAAAGCTTGGTGCAGTCTTTTTTTATTTTTTCTTTAAAAGACCGAATCCTGAACCAACGCCAGAAACTAAAGTATTCGCTTTATTTCCGACAAAAGTACCGCTACTAGTCACTACATTTCCAACTCCGGAACCAATTCCTGTTAGTGCTCTTGCAGCACCATCTACAACTCCCGAATTTTGTTTCTTCCTTCCAACAAGAGAGGGCCGGAAAACGATGTGAAGAATAAATTTGCCTCCGGGTGCAGTAGATTTACTAAGTTCATTCTTCAATTGTATCTCTTTCACTGTTTTTTCGTAAGGTGGCAAATCGTCAAGTTGAATTGACCCGCTTGCAATCTTTTTATCATTTCCTATTTGATTCCAATCAAATACATCCACTTCAAATACACTAGTCGATCGTGAGAGCTTTAAAAATTTAAAAAAAAATTAATTATCGTATTTATTTTTTTATGAAAGGATTATTCTAACTAAAATAATAAATACCACGGTCACGTTAAAGGATTCATTAAATTCAGGGTTACAATTCTTTTTAATAGTCTTCGTTTTATGAACTTTTTCATTATTCAAGGTGAAGACAGCGAATGGATCACTCGTACCTAAAATTTGAACAAAAATTTTATATAATATTCTATCAAATTAAATAATCAAGTAATATAAAAATTAATTACCAGATCGATCAGCTGCTGGTAAATTTTCTGCATTCTTGACAGTGATTTGTAAATCTCCCATATCTACATAGAAAGGTAACTCAAATTAATATCTCCTGAATTAAGGATAAATCTCATAATTTAAAATCACTTACTATTTATACTCTCCGAAGGTTGTAGTTTATATTCAACAGGTATATACTGAATATAAACATTCAAAGTTGCATTATTCATTTCTTCAATAGGAAGGTTTATACCGTCTTCTCGTGATGACCTTAGGCAATCCTCTAATAATTCTTTAGCTTCTCGTTCCACAACACCAATAGGATTCCTGTTATCTCCTTGTTTAATATGGAAAATAAGCTTGGAAAAATCCAGTTCCTTAATAATTACGTCGGTGACTTTAAAAGTCAATGAGGTATTAGCGTTAATGAATAACATAAAATAGAAAAAAAGAATAATTTGAAATTTTACCTTCTTCGTATTGCGGATTTGCTGCCTTGCAACGATTAGTGGTATAAACAGGGAATATCCCATTATCTACATAAACATCTACACTTGTATCTCTCTTCTCAAATTTGGCTCTATTAATATGTATAATGAAAATTCCAGTTTCTAAATATATAATAGACATATTAGCAAAAAAAAAAAAAATTATAATGATCGACAAAATATGAGAATAAGTAATATTTAACGTACGATGATCACTTAAATTATTTAAATTGATGTTTTCGGCTTCTTTCTTATTAATAGTTGGATAAAAAGCTGCTGAATAAATAATTGTGCCTCTTGATTCACGATCAAGGATTAAAGGTGAAGACCTATAATAAACAATTTCAAATCGAAACGAAATATTAAATTCATCATTATTGTATACTTAAATTACAATAAACCCGAATAAGCTTTAGAATTACACTCACGCATCTTCAAGTTTGTCAACGGCTTCAAATGTGCTATTTTGTTCCTTAACTAATTTTGAAAGTTCCAACTCTGCAAAACCTAGTCTCTTATCTTTTGCATTAATTTCACGATCCATTACTTGAAGATTCAACACTTCTCTCGTACTATGTACTGGTATATAAAATATTTCATCCCATACGGGACTCAAGTTGTCGAGAATAAAATCTGAACGACCACGAGCAGTAGAACCCAGCAAAACTTTCACATAAGGATCGGATTTACCTCCTGAGATCACAATTTTTTAAATTAAAATAATTTTCTAATTTAGCAACGCAATGTAGATATAATAAAGCAACATAATTAAATTATTCTCAAGTTATGAATATCTTACCTAGTTTCCCTAGATTCTTTAAATCTTTAGCACCCTTAATATGAAGTCTTACAAATCCACGTGGTTCAACTGGATAGAGAAATTTTTAAAGTCGCATTAAATTTATATTCATATTATTATAGTTTATATTTCGTTTTGGTAAATTTTGTAATTGATATTTTATAAAAAAATATATATATATTACCGAATCCGCCGGGTCCGGGAAGATCATCTATTAACACAGGTTTCCATAAACAAGTTAAATTTATTCTGCCAACTGGGGCTCCATTTTTTAAATCGAACCAGTCTATCTTCTCTTTCATGTTTGCTAAAAATTGTTCTAAAGTGCTTTCCCATTTTCCAATAATATTGGTCGAGTCACGCTCATCACGAACATTGACAGCTAGCTTGGCACCATCTCTATTTGTAATGAACATTTCAAATGGATCCTAGTGAAACATAATTTACTTATTAAAATCTTATTAATAAATTAAATAAAGCCGTTAAAAATACTAACCTCCCAAACAGGATTATTTGTTCTTTTCAGTGTCTTCGATTTGAAAACAACTTTCCCATTCAAAAGCAATTCTGCATACGCATTATGACGATTACTAAGATTCTTAACTTGATGAATGTTAAAGCGTAAAATTCCAATGTCTGTTTTTTTTTTAAAAAAACAAAGTACAATTAATTATTATGAATTAAATTTCATCTCGCAAATGTATAATAATTTATTTTTGTACTTGATTCAGGTGCAGGCACTCCTTCTATGGCTTCAGCTACTGGATACCAGACTGCATCGAATTTAATTTCGCCGTGAGGTTTACCCTCATATAATACTTCAGATGTACTAATCATTAATCAAAAAAAAAAATCCAATAAACATAAAGACACAAAGGAAAAAAAAACACAGAAAATTACTAAAGAGATCTCACATGCTTTCTTGCTTTGGATTTTCTAATAAAGAATTTAATTCAAAATTGGAAGTTCCAAGTGGCTTATCCTTACTCATTCCATTAAAATCCCATATCTCAAGCCTTAAAAATTCACTCAAGGTCGTTAAAATCAAGAAATGTGTCTCGTTCCAAGCAGGATTCAATGAATCATCGATAACTTTTGTTTTGACGAGTTCTATATTTCCGTGAGCTTTTACTTTAACATAAGGATCAGATGTACCAAATCTTTCTGCGTTTCTTAATCCCCTTGCATTAAATATGGTAAGTTTGAGGACACCAATCGCAGTTTCTATTTAAAATAAGAATTTTTATTAAATATATAACGATCATTTATAGAATTTTCACGGTGAATGTTACCTATTGGATAGCCTCCAACGAGAAGTTCCGCATCTATTGTGTAAACATTTGGAGCATACATCAATGGGCGAAGATTAGCATGAACTTGATCTTGAATAAATGAGGACAATCCAGGAAGCTAATCGAAAAATATAAGGTGAATTAGATCTTTATTGTATTATTCAACGAATGCATAAGAATAATTGAACTCATACATTTGCTATGTCGAAACCGAATGTTTCTCCTCCAATTGGTTTTAAAACATAATCAAACTTTGGTTCTTCCAAGAAACTAATATCGACAGTTTTAACATGAGGGAAAATATTTATCAACTTTAATTTGACTCTTATAAGTCCAGAAAACGATATATCTTCCAACAATATGGGAATTCCTGCGCCAACCATTCCCTTTCCCAACCGAATAGTGAGAGCAATTTTAGGATTGACCTTCCTAATCATTTGCGATCTTGTCATATTTGCAATATCATTTGGAATATAACTAACTTTCCAATCCATAACCTTAAAATTTAAATATATGAGTAAAATAAAAGCATCTAAAGTAGGATAATATAATGGTATTTACCACTACGTCATCATCAGACTTTGGATATGATTTTATAGATTCGATGGTGAGAGGCTTTGAACCTAGTGTAAAAGTTGTCAACCGGATTGAATCCAGAAAAGATGGTTTTGAAGCAGCCAATATATCATCAGCTGTTTTTACAATCGTTGATGACAATACAGGTTCATAAATAAGCCAAAATCGACGTAAAAATTCGTTAATCCATTCTGCTGGCTCTTCGTAAAGCTCCAGTTTTTCCTTTGCAAGTTCACGACCAATTTCGTCTCTTGCATTACGATAAAATCGTTGGACAGAATTCTTAAAATACGTTCCTGAGAACCAATCGAAAACGGATTAATCATAAGAATTCGATAATGAAGTGGTATTATATCAATTGAAAAAAAAATGATTTTACCAACAAAAGCACTAATAATAATAACCCAACCAATGCCTCCACCAAGAGAAGTAATTATGTACGTCAAGAACACAGATACAAATACTACTGTAGCATTTAACCATAGTTGTCCAAAAAATTTTTCGCCTAAAACTTCGTCAAAAATGTCTTTATCTGATTCACCAGCGCCAGTAACACGTTGCCAACCCGTACGTGCCCAATCAGGAATTTCAACCGACTCTACCACAGAAGGTATACTTCCGGGCAAAAGAGTTGAAAGTCTTTTACTGGTTGACTCAGTTTCTTCTTCAGTTGTTTGACTTGCGTCAGTATCTGTGGTAATTTTTTTAGCATTTGGTCCTATAGTATTAGACTTGGGGCCACCCCCAGAATCTTCAAGTGTTTGTTTAGCTTTCTCTTCTGGAGAATCTTCAGCTTCAAATTTATATACTGGAGTATCTGAGTCTGCAAACTTCTTGTTTACCTCGTCATTGATAACCTTTTCTTTTTCTGGTACTTTATCCATTTTTGAAAAGAAATGGAGCTAAATAAAAATTTTAAAATTCGCTATTATAACGTTGGTGCGTGTGAAGCGTGTCACTTCACGATTTGTTTAAAATATATAAGAAAAATATTTGCTATAGATAGTTGTAAATTTCACACGCCTATTTATATTGGCGCCAAACCATCAAAAATCGAGAAAAGCTTTTTAACAAATCATGACATCGCCAGATAAGATTCAGATCTTCAAGATGTGTAAGTTTTTACGCTTAATTCGGTAACCATTACTACATTTGAAATTTTTACGTAAATAATTAGACTCACAACACATGATGACCAGTAAAATTTCTATATGCAAAAGAATAAAGCCAAAAATAGTAATAAGCATACCAACATTTAAAATTTTTAGGTTATGTGAAATCAGCGATTAGTTAGCCCACCTGCATATATATACATATGTATATTGTATATATACATATGATAAATGCAACTCCTGCTTTGTCTAAATGACCACTCTCCGTTCTCTTTGCTCGTTAAAGATAATCAATTTAATCAAGCTATATACCATATTTTAATATTATGAATTTTAAAAAGAGGTTTCGGTTTATTTCATTAATCTTATATTTAACAATTTTGGTTAAAACATCTATTGCGGTGTTTGTACCAGGTTCCTACCTAACATTACCCCAATGTATCGCAGCCACTGAGGTGAGTGTGATCTATCCGAATTATCCCGGGTGGCGAGATGCAAAAATTGGTGAACGAATTCGGTTCGTGAATTTAAAATTTTTTTTTTTTAAAATGAGTTACAAAATTCTAAAGTAAAATTTGATTTAATTTTAAAGATTTCAACGAAGACCAGTAGTAGTTACTTATCCAATTAATACGACTCAAGTACAATGGTTAGTTCAATGCGCTAATTCATTCAAAAGAATGCCAGTTCCTAGGAACGGTGGTCACAGGTAAAATAAACCGATTAATTTTTTATTTTCTTATTTATTTATTTATTTTTTTTATTTTGGTAACAATAATGAGGTTTTTATTTATCTTAATTTCAATAATTTTATAATTTTAGTAATATTGGATCATCTTCAATGGATAATTCAGTAGTTATTGATATAAGCTATATGGATTCACTTGTTATAGATGCTGCGACTCAAACAGCAACTGTTGGTGGAGGAATTCGTCTTGGACCTTTATATATTGAATTAGATAAAGCAGGATTTACTATAATTTCTGCTACACATCCAACTGTAGGTTTATCAGGAGCAATCGCTTCTGGTGGGTTTGGATTACAATCACGTAAATATGGTGTTACAGGAGATTGGGTACTAGAAGCGGAAGTTGTAACTTCGGATGGTAGCTTATTGATCGCAAATGCTGGATCTCATTCTGATTTATTTTGGGCATTAAGAGGTGGAGGTGGTGGAAAATATGGGATTGTTACTCAATGGAAATTAAAACTTATACCTGTATGGCCTAAATTTACTGTATTTAATATAAATTATTTTTATAACGGATTTGAAGAAGTTTTAACGAATTTTTGGAATTGGGCTTATGGTTCTATAGAGGATTTATCAGTTTCTTTTGTTTTTACAAATAATGAATTTAATATACAAGGACATTTTTTGGGGGGAGAAAAAGATTTACATGAATTAGTTGATAAAACTGGATTATTTAAATTATCAAATGCTAAAGCTGTTAAACATGATGAATGTACACATTTAGGGTCTCGTGCTTATTTCCTTGATAAAGACAAAACTTGTGATAAAATTTATCTATTGAATGTTGGAAATTCACCATTTGGTCCAAATTATGGTGATGATCCATCACTTCTAACACTTCAAACTGCTGAGATCACTCTAGTTACTGAAGGAGTTATAGAAGGATATGGGGCCGCGCCTAAACAACAAAGGGAATATGTAAAAACAAAATCAATGTTTTTCGCTAAAGAATTATCAGTTGAAAATATTACAACTATAGTGGAAAGAGCAAAAGCTATGCCACCTGGAGCTCATGCAGAATTAACTGCCTATGGTGGTATACTGGGAACTCAACCCACTGATTTAACAGCTTTTCCTCATAGAAATGGTGTAGCTTATCATCTTTTACTTGAAGTTTCGCTTACTGGTAATGCTACTATTGATGAAATTGCTTTAAACTTTGTAAATACGTGGGAAGAAGATCTTAGACCATTATCGAATGGCAGGAGTTATGTGGTAAATATTTGATAAATTATTAATAGTTATATTCTTTTTTTCTTTAATGATTTAATTAACTTTTTTTTAAATAGGGATATGAGGATGAAGATTTAGTAAATCCTGGATTATCTTATTTCGGTGGAAATCTTGAGACATTAAAAAACATTGACTCTATATATGATCCAAATAATATTCTTGATTCTGGACAATCTCAACAACAAACAGAACTCCCTCTAACTAATGAAAAATGTCCATATATCGTTGGAGGAGATCCACCAGGAAGGCGAAGTAGTGGTGTTAAAATCAATGAAAACAATCTTAATTATATTACTTCAATTTTAATAACTTTTATAATTTTAATTGCATTTTAAACCTTGTAAAACAGTTTTTTTTTGAAATAGAATTTTAGAAATTTGATTATTTACTATTTAATAAATTTATTGTGCCCATCAGAGATCTGATCTTAGAAAGAAAACATTTTAGGCGAATATTAAAGTTGGACAAATGAGAATCACTGTAATCGAATAATACACATCGAAACTTAATCATTACCCGGAAATTTTCGTACCGATTTATCAATCTTAATCACAATACGAAAATTTAAATTGTTTGTTACCCAATTAAGGTGGCAGTACTTTTAGTTACTGTAAATATTTAGAATTCGAGATTTAAGTATAACATTATCAAAGTGATCGAATCTAAGATAAATTTTTTTCTTATACAAATCGAGATAAATTTAAAAAGCGTAATAAAATAGATATAGTTAGATGTTCTATGTACTAAACAATCGGAATATACCGCGAATTGCGGGATAATATATCATGTGATTTTTTCACTTCAAGTTATTCACGAAAAGTGGTTGCGTTTAGCCACCTGTCATTTTTCCAATTTTAAGGTAAGGCCGCTGTGACAAACATGTCGGAATCATATGAAATCTAAATAAATAATCGTTATATTAAAATTATACCCGATATATATGTGTTCTCTCAATATAGTGGGATTGTGGGAAAGATAAATTTTATCTGTTATATCGAATTTTTTAATATACAGAACATCATATATCGAATATCGATATGATTGCATATAAACTTTATTTGTAATTTTCCGATTTTTATTGAAAAAAGATTTCTTAAATTTTATTATATAAAGCGATTATTTCACATTTTATATTATATATATGCTAATGTGATACCTTGCGGCGGACTATGAGAAAATATTAAGTACAAACATATGACATGATTTCTTGTATCAATTCCAATGGCGCAAAAGGAAGTTGACTATGACTTGATTACTTGAAGTATATGCAAAGATCACGTGATTTAGATATTCACTTTTCGGTTTCTTAAGATCATGTCCTCTAAAGCAAAAGCGTGTGAGATCTTTTCGTACATTAATCTAATGCTTTGTTGAACTTTAATAATTAACGCCTTTACCTCACGGTGAGACTTCCTAAAAGCACATGAAGAATATTATAGTATCCCTAAAGTTATGTAAAAATGTATGTATGCTGTAGTAGTACAAAAAGCACACTATGGTATTTCTAAAAAAATAAAACAATTTTTTCGCGCGTTCCGTTCCGATGTTACAACATTTATAAGAGTTTTAAATCAAATTTTTAATTTGGTAAGTCAAAAAAAAAGGTTCATACCTTCGAAAAATAAAACACAGCATACTGTACACAAAATTATTAAGTTATCAATCTCACAATCTTTTTAATTTTTAATCGAAAGAACGATATTAATTACCTTAATGAATGATTTCTTTAAGAGCACAAAAATAAACAATGATAAATAAAGAACCAAATAAAATATAACTATGGTATAGTATTATGACACAGAATGAACTTACCTAAAAAAAATTGTCTGATTAAATTGATAATTTACGTTCGATAAGGCGAGTTAATACTTGAATGAAATTTTAATTGGACATTTTAATTATAATAAAGAGAAAAAGAAAATACATGAATGGTCACGTAATACATTTGATTGTCTATTATGATTTGTATTATTACTTTGTGTCTTTTTAACCTAACTGTATTTTACATTTTTTATTGAATATTCTAAATATAGCAACCTGCAATTGTTATCCCATCAATGGTCGACTTCATTATGATGTGCAAAACTTATTTCCAAATTTATTCAATTAATCTCCGATGTTTACTTTAATGTGATAAAAAAAAATGTGATATAATTTTTTTTTTTTAGATTCACTTGGCGTAAATGTCTAAATGATGATGTTGTTAATAGTAATTTCATATAAATGGTTAGATATCATAGTGTGTTTAATTTTGGGTCGAATTTTATTTATGTAGTGGGAATTTTCTAAAAAGAAATTTGATTCTAATTTGATTCTTGAGAGATTTTTTTAATCATTTTTAATTCATGAGAAAATTAGTCCTAATTTGTATAAGTAATTCTGTCATTTATTTTTTATAAAGAAATATTGATATATATATATATATATATATATATATATTAGATAATAATACCAACTAAATGTAATACAAATAAATAAATAAATAAATAAATAAATAAATAATGAAATTTTTTTTTTTATGTCCCATAAATTTTTATATAAAATTTTATCCTATACTTTCAATTTCAACTCAAATTCAATAGGATAATGATCGGTAACACGTTTAGCGGCTTTTTTAACTGTTTCATTATCAGTCTTTCCATTTAACCAACCATCATCAAATCTCCATACTTTAGTATTACCAATCCATCTACGTTCATTGGCAGCTTCAAAGATAAATCGATCATAAGCTGTGTCAGGTCCATCAGCCACTGTCGTATCCATATTATCTTGAATTCCCCATCTTAAATTATTTTTCTTTAAAATAGTGTCAAGTTCTGCACGTTGAGATTTATTTACATAAGAACCTGCAGCATTAAGATCACCCATCATTATAATGGGCTCATTAGTGTCTGCACCTGAAGGAGCTAATTCTTCGGAAAAATCTCGTGTAGAGACATGAGAATAACCTCCACAACAACAACAAAAGATACGTTGTAAAAATGAAATGAATGTATTTGGTTCCTTTGGTCCTGTCTCTTTATCTAATTGCCTTTTTTCTTGTACATTATCCCGTTGTAATTTCTTTCTAACATCCATATAAACTGTATTAACTAACGTATTAATTTCTTCAAACGCATTATCCGGTCGAGTATGGCAACCAACAAGTGTAATTCTAACATTTTTTCTTTCTAAATGTTGAAATCTGGCAACATAAGGTTCTCTTATAAATTTATCTCCCAATTTATCATCATCATCGATAACATAATCCTCCAAAACTTTCCATTCATTACTTCGATACAAGAAAACGTATCTTTCTTGATAAGTAGATCGTCCAATAGGATGACTAGCCACGTAAGCATATGGCGTGGCTGGTGTAGATACTTCATTAACAAGTTCTTGAATAATATCTTCATTTGCACGAATTTCTTGACATAATATAATACCATAATGTCGTAAAATATCAGCAATAATTCTCATAATAATCTTATTAGAAGATTTTTTAGTTCCGAAAGCTTGAATATTAAGAGAACCGATCATGGAAATATTTTTATTAAAAACTTGAGGTCTTGAATGAGAAGGGAGAGGAAAACCTGACAATAAATCATCATATTCAGATGATCCACCGATATCTCCTTCGGTATTTGTAATATTACCACTAATCTTTTTATTAGGAGATTTAATTACAGGAGGTGATAATTTTCCTTGATCCAAAATTTCATCTTTCTTATCTTTTAACTTTTGAGCAACTTTTTTGGTCTTATCTTTTACTATAAATTTTTGAATTTTGAATTAAAGATATTAACGATTTTTAATGAAATTCAAAAAAAAAGTGACTTACGTGTACTTTTTTCTTTATCATCATCATCATCATCATCAGGCTTCTTTTCTTTTGTTGATTTTTTCTTTTTTTTACCTTTTTGTGAAGAAGATTGTTCTGCGGTATCATCAATATATTCTTCACTTTCCGAATCGGAAGGTTTATATTTATCAATAACCTTTTTATTTGTTTTTTTTGTTTTCGTAGATTTTTTTGATTTTTTTTTTGGTTCGGTTCCAGTTTCTTCTAATTCTTCTTCTTCTGATTCATCATCTTCTTCTACTTCCTCAGACGATGGTTCATATTCTGAATCTTTATCACGTTTTGGAGGCATGATTATATTTTTTTCAAATTCGTTAAATAATTTCGATTAAAAAAAAATAATAATAATAATTTTTTTTCGATCAAAGGGATGGAGGAAGAAAAATATGAATTCGAATTACTGAAATCAACAAAGATGATTTTTATATATGACATATATGACGTGTAAAAAATGACTGTAACCAAATTTTTGTAACAAATCATTTAATTTAAGAATAGTGATGTTACCCAAATAAGCGCCTAGCCACAGTTTAAATTTTTTTACGCTTAGCCCAATTAAATTCCCGCTCATAAGCCAATACTAAGCCCACTGGCTATATTATTAATAAAATACGGGAAATCCCATTTTTAACATAAAAAAATTTTTTTTTTAAAAAAAAAAAAATAATAATAAAAATAGTGACCCAAAAATGTCCTACGAATCATATTACATCAGAACAAGCAAATTTTGATATAATTAATATAATTATAAACATATATGTATATATATATATATATTGTTGATCATTGGTTTAGCCGTTAATGACAAAAAAAATTTTATCTTTGCCAAGAGAAGTAAAAAGAAGTGATTAGTGATTAAATGATTAAATATAGACAATGTCTTCATTATTATTGATAACGCAATATATTCTCACTATTCCACAAAATCGTTAGACTCTAAAAGGGAATATTTCAATTAAAAATAAAAAGAAAAAAAGTTACACGTGAAAAAAAAACCCTTATCATTAAGCTTTGAGCATGAATGAATAAAAATATAAAAATAATAACAAAATCGGACTATGGAATTCCTCTTCTTTTATTTTTATAGATGCATTCATTGTTGATCATTGTTTGCTTATTGGATGAGAACTTTAGCCATTTGGTGTCTCATTTGTGCCTCTCAATTTTTTTTTTGATTTTTGATTTTTTTTTTTTAAAAAAAAAAATATAAAAAATATAAAATAACTGATAATATAAAATAAAATAAAAATAAAATAAAATGAAAATCAAAATTCCCGAACTTTCGAGTGTAGATTAACTTAGTGTAAAAAATTATGCAAAGTAACCCTAAAACTTTCGCAAGTACCACCATTATTCAAATTTATTCATGTTTATAATAAAAGATAATCAAATATTGTGGCATAGCGAATATGAAATTACCAAAATTATGATGTAATTATGCAAATCCTTTCGTTGTTATAAGTAATATAAATTTAATCTAAACTTAAAATAAATAAGCGGGGAAAAAAATTCCAAATAATCACATTAATACATATAATATTTATAGTATTCACAATTATTTTGACAAACACGTTTTTAAAAAAAAAGTTATATAAAGGGTCAATCCAAATTATTTCAAAAAGAATTTCCTTCATCAAACTAAAAATGGGAAATAAAAATTCAGCTTCTCAATATCAAATTGAAAAAATTAGAATCATGCATACTACTTCACATAAAAATCATAGTAATAAAATCAACAACAACAATAATAATTATTATTATAATAATAATAATAATAACATACTGATTTCAAATACACAATTAAAATATCTTTTTTTACAACAAAATGAAAATTCCTTAAACGATCGCAATTTAAAACATAACGGGACTTCTATATCAACTTTAAATAATTATCCTTCCCAAGATTTACCTTATCCTCCATTTGAAAATTGTAATATAAATCATTCAAATTCTTCCTCTTCATCATCATCTCCAATTCTCGATAGTCCCGAATGGGATTCTTCTTCTTCAACTTTAAATAATTTAAAGAATTTTCCCTCTTCTAATAATATGGATTCTACAAATTTACAATCAACTTCCACATTGATCACCTCTTATGAAAAAAGTTTACCACCTACTCCACCAATTTCATCTGATGATAATTCAGGACAAGTTGGTGATCATTTTCCTACTATTGGTCATATCACTAATACTTTCATCGTAGATGAACCTGATGATATTTCAGATACGACCATAAGAACTTCCAATCCCCCTTCTTTATTTCCAAGAGAACATGATAATAATTCCGATGAAACTGCCACATTAAACCCATCATTATTATTTAATTCAAATGAATTTTATTCTTTACCTGAAGTTCATGTAATTTCTTTATTACAAAGAGATGATATTGAAATTAGTGAAATTGAAATATGGAATCAATTAATTGCTTGGGGAATTAAAAATACTTTCCAACTTTCAAATAAAAATTTTCTAGAATGGAATGATCAAGATTTTGATGCTTTAAAGAATACATTAAAACATTGTATTGATTGGATAAGATTTTATCAAATTAAACCACAAGAATTTGCGGAATATGTTTGGCCATATAAAAAAATTCTTCCTCAATCAATAATTGGTAATTTCTTACGAGAACAAATCACTGGTCACGCTCCTATTATGGAGACTAATATAAACCCACCAAGAATTCCTTCTAGTGATATAGATTCTATCATAATGACTGGTAGACATGCTACCATAATATCTAATTGGACTTTAAGAGAAACTTTTTGTGGGAAATGTCTTTTTAATTTTAACTTGATTTATCGTGCAAGTACTGATGGTCTTTCTTCAAAAATATTTCATGAAAAATGTGATGATAAAGGTCCAACAATTCTTGTAATTAAATTATCTAATTCAAAAGAAATTATTGGTGTTTATAATCCTTTACCTTATCAAAAATCAAAAATAACTTTAAAAAGAAGAAGTTTAATGTATAATAATAATAATCAATCAAAAAGAAAGTCAAATAGTTATGATCCTTATATAAATGTAAAAGAAGCAAAAAAAGATACTTTCCTTTTCTCTTTTCAAACTCGTTATTATCCTGAAGAATCTGCTATAATTAGTCGTATAATACCAAGTTATTCAAGTGAAGCCATTACAAAAAATTCAAATAATAATCTTTGTTTTGGTTTAGGTCCTGATTTACGAATTAATTTAGATAATGATGAAAAATTTGGTGAAGTTCTTCCTTATTCTTTTCAAAATCCCATTTTAAATTTTGATGGCCGTTTTGAATTTGAAGAAATTGAAGTTTTTCAAGTTTTAAGAAAGGTGGAATATCGAGAAGGGCGTTATTATTAATATAAACTAGATAATAGATACAATTAAAAAGTTATCATAATAAAATCATTTCAATAATTTCAATAGTAATATGTTCTAAGCGAAACTTATTATTAAGTGTTAGGTATCACAGGTCGATTACTTGACTATCTATTGATCGGATTTTATACTATTTTGTTATTCTTCCCCGCAAAAGTTTGACTTGATAAAAAAGTGACATACCAGTCATTTAATTATACTACAAATATTTATAATATATCATACATGCCAATATAAATATGTATATATTAATTTTTTTTTACATGCCGTAATTGCCGAAGAAAAGCCACATATTAATTATTAGATAGTTGAAACTTTGAAACTAAAACTACTAATCCTCCATAATATTTTCCGAGCTTAACAAAGTTAGCGATTTTTTGTAGTTTCAAATGTTTATTAAAAAAATCGATTTTCTTAAATTAAGCGTTTTTTTTATTTAGCGTTTTTTATTTTAGGAAATTTCATAGTGCATGATTACATAATGTGATGTTCGTTAGTCACATGTTCTTTGAAGGTCCCCGGTCACAGCCTTGCAGCCTTGCAGCCTTGGCAGTTGAGACTTCGTTACACATTAAAAAGCTCGTAACCAAAGAGAGAGAATGTGAAACGTTGCAATGTCTTATTAGGATTACCTTTATCATTTTGCCTAAAATATCATTCATTATATAATATATATCGCAAAAATACGATAAGTCGATAAACTCTCTTTGACTCACAAGTCTTAGTCTTACAATCTTAGAGTTTGATGCAGTGTAACTTATTTCTTGTCTATTAATAAAAAATATAATGATCTTCATCATTTCTTTTCCTTTTGAAAATTTCTTTCAGAAAAAAAAAAAAAAAGAAATAAAATATTATATAATTTAAATTAATTAATATGTCGGATATTATTAATACAATTAATAATAATAATTTTAATACAGAAAATAAATTAAAGAATTTAGAAAACGTATTTCCTGATCCTACCGAAGATGTATTTTGGCAAAAAGTTTCAAATGTTATAAACGAGATTGATGAGGATCCAACGAATGATGTAAGTACAATAAATAGTTAAATTATCGAATTAAATGGTTAATAATTGATATATTTGAATTTTTAATATTAAAAAAAGTTCAGATAATTAATAATTAATAATCTTAATTATTTTAGGTTGATGCTATATGGAATCCTCATAAAAAAGAATTAGATAATCAAAAACAGAATGATCAAGAAAATAATAATTTTGTTATAGCACCACCACCTCATCATCCTGTTACTAATAATTATACTAGACATTCACGTAAAAGTAGTAGAGTTTCATGGGGATTACAAACTGATTCAGAACGTCATATTGAATTATTGGGTGCGTATTTTTAAAAAAATAAAAATCTTATTGAATTATTTATTTATTTAAATGATTAAATTAAATTTTTTTTTTTTTTTAGAGACAAAATTGAATGAAGTTATTTCAGGTCATAAAAGAACTCATACAAGATCTTCCACAATGGATTTTGATGGCACACCATTATCAACTTTAGGATATTATCCGGAGGAAGAGATTGGATCAGGAACAGTTTTTGAAGATGAGGAAGATAATTATTTACATGCTGATAATCATAATCCGCAAGAATCAGATGAAGGATTATGGTTATTATGGAAAAATCAATCAATCAGTGATTTTCAAGGTGATGAACAACATAATAATACCTCCACAACAATAAATCAATCATGGTATTTGCCTTTATTATCAAGATCCAATAACAACAATGATGATTATGATAACAACAATAATGATAACAATAATAATAATTTACCCAGATTAACAAGAATGAGAAGTGAAAATTATGTTGCTAATTATCGTGATGTTCCAAATGAATTTCCATTTTATGATGAAGATGAAGAAGATGGATATGATTTAAATGATGAAATATTATTAAGTAGAGCTAAAAGAAAGAAAGAAAAAGAGTATTTAAAATTTAATGCAAGAAGTTATGAGTGTTGTGGTTGTAATACTACAAATGGTTTATGTGCTGGATTGTGGGGAAGTTGGTGCTGTAATTGGGTTTGTTTACCTACTATTTTATACATAAGAGAAAAATGCTGTTGTGGTGTTTGCGGTTTAGAAGATGATTAAATGGTAACAATAAATTTCATTTTTATATATGTATGTATGTATTTACAAATAGAGTTGTCTCATAAAACGTAATTAATGGAGTATGGATCATATAACAACTTTTAGTATTAATGAACTATATACGAAAAAAAAAAAAAAAATGTATTTAAATAATTTTAATAATTTAAAAGACCTTACAGTAAACGGTTAAACATTTTAATGATATTATATATTTTAAAAACTAGATAAAACCGGTTCGATTAGAATTTGATGATGGAATTCCTTTCTGCTATTTTACGTATGATTGATTGCATTTAAATTATACACTTACAATATTAAATCTCGTAATTCGTAAATAGTGAAATTCCTTTGATAAGTGAAAATTTCATGTGATCATTATGATCACTTTTGTGTTTAAATTTATCAATTATTGCATCATATAACTAGGAATATATACGTATATGTATACTTGTTACCAATGGCAATATCATAAGAACGCTGCGCCTATTAAATACTTAAAATATTTAACTTCCTAAACAAGAATTTATTTTATTATGAAATAATGCACATTTTGGATAGTATCATACGTATTTGGGGATTTAGCTCAGTGGTAGAGCAATCGACTGCAGATCGATAGGTCACTGGTTCAAATCCGGTAGTCCCCTCAAAGGTTCCACTTTCCTCAAGTTTTTCTTTTTTTATAATTTTGCGTAAGCACGTGATTCGATAAATAAATGAATCGAGCGCTGATTATCTTTTTTTAAACCCTTTTTTTTTATCAAAACTTTTTTTTTTAATAATGGTGGTTCGAATTAGATTAGCACGACATGGAATAAAAATAAGAAATCGACCATTTTATAATATAGTTGTAGCAAATGCAAAAACACCAAGAGACGGTAAACATATAGAAAAAGTGGGATTGTATGATCCAATTCCAAACGAACTTGGAATTAAAAATGTTGAATTAAATACCGACAGAATTAAATATTGGTTAAATGTTGGTGCATGGCCGAGCGATACTGTTGCAAGACTCTTATCAAAGGTAAGAAATATATTTTTTTGATTATTATTTTTTTATTTTCTCTTCCTTTATTTTTCTTTTTATGTTTGCTTAGGCTGGTATTATGCCTACTTTACCTAAAGATGTAAATAAACCGAAGAATAAAAAATCAAAGTTATCCGTGAATCCAAATAATAAAATGAAAGATATATCATCTGAACAAAATTCATAAAGGCACGTTATGATTTATACTATTTTTAGTTTTTTTATTGAATAACTTTAAAAACTTCAATTTCTTCAATCCAAAATCTAGCTTCAGTATCTCTTATGGGTTTATCATAACATCTCCACCTACAAAAACCTTCTCTTGGTCTTGAGATACAAGAAAATTCCATATCACCTTTACCAAAACTTGGACCAAAGTTTTCACCATCATAAATAGCATAATATTTAAGATTTGGTTGTATTCTACTTAAAATATAATTTGATTCTGATGACAAATCACCCAAATTAAAAATAAAACTATCATCTCTTATAATATATTGATTTGCACTTTTCCATCCAACAGGATTGTAACCTCCAATGATTTCTTCTTTACAACAACCATCGATATTACTTTTAGATTTAATTAGAACAAGAGAAGGACCTTGATTATCACACATTTTGTGAAATTTTTTAAAGGAGAATTGATGTTTACTTCCTCGATATAAAAGATTAAATCTTATTTTACCAAATTGAATTTTACCATTAACATTTAAATTACCTTCATTTGAATCAATCCAATTTGCAATTATAGTAGATTGCTTATGATTAATTAAAGTTGAATTTATACTATAAGGAGGTTTTCTTGATGTCAAATTTATTTTAATAGTTTTATCTTCAAAATGATATCTCCACAATAATAAATTTGATGGTAATATCGATTGAAAAGGTTTGACTTTTGTTTCATAATCTTCTGTTGAAATATCTGAAAATCTTATTAAAGAAAGTAATGGAGATAATGTCGTTTTTAATGAAGTAAAATCTATTGAAGTATATTCATCAATGGTTTCATATTCAATTTCATCATCTTTTATTATCATTTCAATTGGGGTAGAAGAATTATGTAAACCCCATTGAATTATATAATTCCATAATATAATTTCTTCAATCCTAACATCATCACTAGATAAAATTGCAATTAAAATTGATTCATTCGTTGATAAAAATGCCGGTGAGGAGAAAAATGGTTGAGGTTCTTTTGTTATTAAATCTATACAATATGTTTGAAGTATTTTAAATGCTTCATGTTTAAATGCTATATCAGTTACTGTACTAATATTTTGTTTTATGAATTCAGAAGAATGTGATATTAAATGTTCTTGAACATGAGAAAATAATTCCTCAAATGCTAATTCATCTATCGTTTCTAACAAGTGAATTATCTCGGATGTCGTTAGATTGGAAAAAACCAAAGTTCCGGTATATACGTAGCTAGATAAGAAAAAAAAAAATTGTTTAATTTGATTCAATAAAAAGCTTTTTATTTTTTTTTTTATTTTACTTACTTTAATATAACTTCAAAGACATTTGGCAAAATATTTGGTTTTTTAAAAATTATATTACGATTTTCATCTTTTTTACACCAATCATTTGATAAAGCAGATTTAAAATATAAACATCTCGCCTTTAATATGATTGAATGAGCCCTAAATACTTTTATATTTGGTGGTTGTCCTATTTCTAATAAGACATTATAGTCATCTGAATTTTTTAATAAATTAGATACGTCGGTAAATAATTTTGATAAAAACGATGTCATTTTTTTCTAAGCTTTGATACGATTTAATGATTTTCTCTTAGAACAATTAGTTATTAATTAAGACAAAAAAAGTGTATATACTAATGTGTGTATATATATATATATGTGAGTGTAATCATATTTTCGTAATTTCATTAACTTTTTGGTGGGTAATTTACCTTTTTTAATTAATGAATTAAATGAATTAAATATATAATTTAATCGAAAAAAGTAAAAGGTGTTACAGCTTTGTTTCATAATTTTTATTACCAGATTTATTATATAATACTAATTACAGTACCTTCAATGAATTTAATATGATTTTTAAGGGGCAAACAAAAAAGTGTATATAAATTTTATGGTTAAAAAAGGTTTGAAACACTTTCTTTACCAAATAAAGTTCGATTTTTTTACCATATACTAAACTATACCTGGTTGGAGGAAATACACGATTAATCAGAACTTAAATATTCTGCGACACATTTTGTCACATCCTTTTTTTTCAATCTGCAATGATTCAAATTGGCATCATTTTTTTAATCTAAATATGTATCTAAGTTTGATCGACTTCAACCAACCAACGTATTAAAATTTACTTAATTTATTTGATCAAGATTTTCCACTTTATTTTTTCTTGTTTGCCCGGGGATATTAAATTTAGCCATAATAAGATCTCTTTTTAAATAAAAACTGTATCGGTATTACTACATATAATAGAAGATTTTCAACAGATATATTTATTAATAACCCGTTTTTATTTTATTTTTTTCTAATTTTAGAAATTTCCAAGTATACAAATACCTAGTTTTATAAATATAATCTATTTTGAAACCAAAAAAACATTAAATATATTATAAAAAATAAATAAATTTATAAACTATAATTTATGCATATTTTAAATAAATAAATATTAAATATATTAAAAATATTATTTAATATTTATATTTTAATTATTAATGCATATTATTTAGTTTAATGAAAAAAATATCATTAAAGAAAGATTACATAATAATATTTAATTTATTATTATATATAAATATTAAAGTAATTGCCATTTTCAGAAATATCAGCAATCAGAAAATAATGATTATATAATGTGAATATATTTAAAATATCATTTTATTTCTACTTATATAAATTTATTCTTTAAAAGTATTACAGTAGGATTCTGAACAGTCATATATGAAGTTTACTTATTGATCATATAAATTTCAAAAAATTGCTTATTTCAAAAGTTAAAATGCATAAAAATAATGGATCTTAAATCATAAGTGTACATTACTAATTCTACTTTATGTTCAAATGTTTTTCAAATTATCTAATATAATAAGTAAATAATTTATTGCTATATAATATTTGAAATATAAAAAAATCTATATATTGTATAATATTTATCAATTATTTATTTTATTAATAACAGTTAATTAATTATAATTTATCAGTAAAATGTTTGTTTATATATAAATTTATATTAACAAAAGTCACATAATTTCTAATAAAATTCTGTTTACTTATAATAAAAATTAAAATATAAGTAAAATTTATAAGTAAAAAATTCTAAAAATTCTATTATAAATAAGGATTTTATAATTATCACGTTTGCAATGCATTGCACCCTTTTTTGTCACTTATATTACACTTCTTCTCTTTTTATTTTTTTATATATTCTGAAAACTTTGAATTTTTTTAGCTATAAAAAATCCATTTTTCACACTTTAGTTAAATATCATATATTTTAATATATTTTAATTTTACCTGGTATTATATAATTTTGTTTAGAGTACCTAGAATATAATATATTACAATATAATATATTACAAATGCAATAAAATAAAACCCTATAAATAAATAATCATTTATAATAAAAAAAATATTATATTGTATTATTATGATTTTTTTAAAAAAACTAATTAACTAGTAAAATTGTTGTGAAATTACTATCATAATAAATTTAAAATTTTTTTATAAAAACCTTTATTAAAAGTAAATAAAAACTTTTAATATAAATATATATTAATTTAAATTCTAATTATTGTAATTTATTATTTATTTATTAAATTTATAAAAAATAATATTTAAAATATCTAATTTATTAATATATTAATTAAAAAATCTATTTATATTTACAATATAAAAGTTAAATAATATTTATTTGAAAGTAAATTTTATATTATTTAATTAAAAGTTATAAATATAACTAAAAAATTTTATTTTTATTAAAAATAAATAAAAAATCCTTTTTTATAAATATTATATTTAAATAAATATTTAGTTTTTATTAAAAGTAATTTTTTAATTATTTAATAATAACTTTATTTAAATTACACCACTGGTACTTAACACTATAATATGTATTTTTATGAAAACAGCTTAAACTAAAGAAGTCATTATAATTAAAATTATTCAGTATTCCTAAAAAATGGGAAAAAATTTATTTATTACTTTTTTTTTTTTATATTACAAATATTGAAAAATAAAAAAAAATTGAAAAACTAAGAAAAATATATGTGAAATATATGTTACAGTTTACAGCATTTAATATTGCAATATAAATTATAATATTTTATTAATGAAGATATCTTAATTAGACTATTAATTATAATTTTGAATACTAGTAGTATGATTTATAATTTTTATATTAATATATATATTTATATATTATTAAAATTAGCATTTTATTTTATTTTTAAAATATTATTATTTAAAAATAATTATATTTAATTAAAAAAATAATTAATAAATAAAATTATATAATTTCAAGTTCCTCTTTTTTTAATTAAAATTAATAATATTCTTATTATTTAACTTTAAAAAGTTATAAAAAGAAATAATTATAACTTTGTTTTTTAATATATACATAATTTTATTTATCTACAAATTTATATAATATCTTATAAAAATCATTTAATAAATTGAATTTATTTAAATAATTATAGTTTTATATCTATTACTGTAATTTTTAAAAAATTGTTAGTTATTTAAATTTAATATATATTACTTATATATAAAATTAAAATTATCAAATAATTAAAATAATTAAAATAATTTTAACTAGAAGAGGATCCTAATCTCTTATAGAATTCACAACTGATTTTTTGCTAAAAAAAACCTAATTTGCTCTTTTTTTATTTTCGGTTTTTTGCGATTATCTCAGCTAGAATTCCGAACAGGTTGACCAAATTCAGGTAACCTGACAGGTTAACCTGAATTTATCAGTTCGGGTTTAGCAATTGCAATTCAGCATTAGTTCAGGTTGTAACATCAATATAACCTGAATAACCTGTTAACCTGAAACTATGATTTATATAATAAGTGAGTTATGGTATTATAATTCACTTTTTATATTGATTTTATATAATAAAAGTGAGTTGTGATATTGGTATTCACTATTTTATATTGATTTTATATAATAAAAGTGAATTGCAATATTAGAATTCACTTTTTTATATTGATTTTATATTAAAAAATTAGTTGCGATATTGTGATTTACCTTTTTATATGATTTTAATATAAAAAACTGAATCACAATATTTCAAAAAAAAATGTTTTGCACCATTTTTTTTTTGATATTATTTTAATAAAAATCCTGAAAATTTTCAGGTTTCAGTTCAGATTAAGTTAAACAGATAATCTGATATAACCTGACCTGACCTGACCTGAAAAAAAATTTCAGGTCAGGTTTATCAATTAACCTGACCTGATCTGATCCATTCAGAAATCAGAACTCTAATCTCAACATTCAGTGATTCGATTCATATGGATTTTTTTTATTTTATAGAGCTTGATGAGGGTTATAAAATAAAAAAAGTTCACATAAATTGGACTACTGGATGCTAAAATAATCACAAAAAATGTGATTTTTTTTTTGAAATTTAGGCCAATTTGCTAAAAAGTTATATTTAATGTCTGGAGTCCTACTAGAAGTTATAAAAACTGGAATTATATAAATTTATAATTATAATAAAAAATAATATTAGAATCTAAAATTAATTATTTTAATATTTAATGATCTGATTTTAATTATTATTATATTATGTAATTCATTTTATTAAAAAAAATTTAATAATATATATTTTATTTTTATAGTATTAATATTAATAAAGTTATTATAATTTAAAAACTTTTATATTTAATAATCTAATTTTAATTCTATTTATATTATTAAATCAATAATTTTTTAATAAATTATTATTTATTTATTTTTTTGTAAAAAAAGTAAATATATAAAAAAAAAAACTAAAAATATACACTGGTCGAAATCAAAAAAATCGGACATATGGAAAATCGGCCAAAAATCAGACCAAAATTGGCTAACATTATAAATCGGCACATCTGATTGATGCCAATCAGACAATTTGATAAAAATTCAGCAAAAAATCATCATATTTGATTAACGGCTGATTGATGCTAGTTGAAATCAAAAAAAAAAATGGACAAATGGCAAATCAACCTAAAATTTGCCCAATATTCAAACTGTCTCTTATACACATCTAGATGTGTATAAGAGACAGTTTTAACTAGGAATATATACGTATATGTATACTTGTTACCAATGGCAATATCATAAGAACGCTGCGCCTATTAAATACTTAAAATATTTAACTTCCTAAACAAGAATTTATTTTATTATGAAATAATGCACATTTTGGATAGTATCATACGTATTTGGGGATTTAGCTCAGTGGTAGAGCAATCGACTGCAGATCGATAGGTCACTGGTTCAAATCCGGTAGTCCCCTCAAAGGTTCCACTTTCCTCAAGTTTTTCTTTTTTTATAATTTTGCGTAAGCACGTGATTCGATAAATAAATGAATCGAGCGCTGATTATCTTTTTTTAAACCCTTTTTTTTTATCAAAACTTTTTTTTTTAATAATGGTGGTTCGAATTAGATTAGCACGACATGGAATAAAAATAAGAAATCGACCATTTTATAATATAGTTGTAGCAAATGCAAAAACACCAAGAGACGGTAAACATATAGAAAAAGTGGGATTGTATGATCCAATTCCAAACGAACTTGGAATTAAAAATGTTGAATTAAATACCGACAGAATTAAATATTGGTTAAATGTTGGTGCATGGCCGAGCGATACTGTTGCAAGACTCTTATCAAAGGTAAGAAATATATTTTTTTGATTATTATTTTTTTATTTTCTCTTCCTTTATTTTTCTTTTTATGTTTGCTTAGGCTGGTATTATGCCTACTTTACCTAAAGATGTAAATAAACCGAAGAATAAAAAATCAAAGTTATCCGTGAATCCAAATAATAAAATGAAAGATATATCATCTGAACAAAATTCATAAAGGCACGTTATGATTTATACTATTTTTAGTTTTTTTATTGAATAACTTTAAAAACTTCAATTTCTTCAATCCAAAATCTAGCTTCAGTATCTCTTATGGGTTTATCATAACATCTCCACCTACAAAAACCTTCTCTTGGTCTTGAGATACAAGAAAATTCCATATCACCTTTACCAAAACTTGGACCAAAGTTTTCACCATCATAAATAGCATAATATTTAAGATTTGGTTGTATTCTACTTAAAATATAATTTGATTCTGATGACAAATCACCCAAATTAAAAATAAAACTATCATCTCTTATAATATATTGATTTGCACTTTTCCATCCAACAGGATTGTAACCTCCAATGATTTCTTCTTTACAACAACCATCGATATTACTTTTAGATTTAATTAGAACAAGAGAAGGACCTTGATTATCACACATTTTNGCGACGCGTATTGTATTAAAAGTATAATTAGTATAATTTTAGCTTTAAGATTAATTTAAGATTACAATCTTTTAACCTTTTTTTTTCCTCAAAACAAAATATTTCTCTTTTATTGCTCTATAGTTCAAATTGGGAATTGATAAAAGAATCTCAATTTTTTCCGATTTAATAAATATCAGTATGCCAGTATTGAAGAAAAAAATTTTTTTTATTCCAGCATTCCGATTTACTGTAATGAAATAAAATAATAAAAATATATTTTTTTTTATTATTTTTAATATTATTTGCAGGTTCCGACATTCTGATTTAATGAAAATATTCTTTATTTATACATGATATCGGGTATACTGGTATCAAAAAAAATATCTTTTTTTATCATTTGCAAGTTCCAATGTTCCGATTTAACGATTATTTGTAGATGGATATCGGCATGCCAGTATTAATAATTTTTTTTTTATTTCTGGCATTCCAATTTAATGATTAAATCAGCTAAATCAAATGGTGGAGGTTTGGAAAAAATTATTCAAAATGAAAAAGGAAATTGCTGTAATTGCAAGTATGAACAAGCAATTTGAACAATCAGCAAAATACCAGAACGTTTTTTCTGCAAAATATTATAATAAATGCAAAAAAAAGCCTAAATTTTTAACGGTAGATCGATATGCCAGTATTTCCAAAAACGGCTTTTTTTTTGTTAATCAGATGGATCATCAGATATCCATCTTTTTTTTTATAAAAAATTTTTTTTTTTAACCTTCTGGACACCATTTTACATTCCGATCCTCATGCGAACGGCGGAAAAATTCATTTAAGGCAACCTCAGAACGGCACTTAGAAGGTATTTAGAGAGGAGAAAGGATTGTTTTTTTTAAATTGGAGCGTTAATATACATTTATTAATGTTCCACTTTCTTTTTTTTATTGTAGACCTTCAAGACGCTTTTCACTTTTAGGAACCCTTCGGAGACTTGAAAGGAAGGTAATGTCCCGAAGAATTTTTTTTTTTATTTAATGCGGAACGTTAGGTAACTAACATTGTTTTCTTTTTTTTTTATTAGGTCCAGGACGCCGCTGAACTCCATTTTGAAGGTATAAACCTTCGATCGAAAAAATAAAGACGAAAAAAAAAATTTGGGAGAAGGATAAAGAGAAAAATCGGGTTGAAAAAAGAAACTGAAAAGGAAAAAGAAAGAAAGAATAAAAAAAAATTCGAAAGAAAAAAAGATACGGAACGGTCCCATTTCGAAGGTAAACTTCGGAAAGCCAGCGCAATGGAGTTTTTGGTCCAGCACTCAATAACGATCACCCAAATTTTCCCAAATTAATGGAACCGCCAAAGAAAAAAATTTTCTATTTTGATAAAGACAATTTAATAATCGAGGAGTATCAAGGTGCGAAACTTCTATTAATTCTGTTAGAAGTGTTAAAATTTCTGTTATATTTGACATGATGTAAGAAAGAAGGAGATTTCAATTCTTTAACTTTCTTTAAATTTAGGGAAAAAAAAATTTATTTTAGCGAAACGTTACTAACGTTTCGATTTTCTTTTTTTTTAGATTTCGGCACTCCAGTTTCCGTATTTCTGGATGGAATTTTGAAGGTACCTCTTCGAAATTCCACATTTTTTTTTCTTTTTTTATTTGAATGAAACGTTACTAACATTTCGATTTTCTTTTTTTAGGTTTTCGGCTCTTCGGTTTCCATATGACTGGACAGAATTTCGAGGTACCTCTTCGAAATTCCGCATTTTTGTTATTTCTTTTTTTATTTGAACGAAATGTTACTAACGTTTCAATTTTCTTTTTTTTAGGTTTTCGGCTCTTCGGTTTCTGTATGACTGGATGGAATTTCAAAGGTACCTCTTCAAAATTCTGCATTTTTTTTTCTTTTTTTATTTGAATGAAATGTTACTAATGTTTCGATTTTCTTTTTTTTAGGTTTTCGGCTCTTCAGTTTCCATATGACTGGACGGAATTTCGAGGTACCTCTTCGAAATTCCGCATTTTTGTTATTTCTTTTTTTATTTGAACGAAATGTTACTAACGTTTCGATTTTCTTTTTTTTAGGTTTTTGGCTTTTCGGTTTCCGTATGACTGAATGGAATTTCGAAGGTACCTCTTCAAAATTCTGATTTTTTATTCTTTTTTTGGGCTCCAATTTGGCCAAATCTACAGGTAAAGTTTCGTGTTTTTGAAACTTAATAAAAAAATGTTAATTTTAACGTTTTTATATTTTTTTTATAGGAAATCGGCTCTAATTTGGCCAATCCTATAGGTAAAGTTTTGAAGTTTCTTTCTTCAAAACTTTCATAAAAAACGTTTATTTTTAACGTTTTTTATATTTTTTATAGGAAATCGGCTCTGATTTGGCCAATCCTATAGGTAAAGTTTCGTATTTTCGAAACTTAATAAAAAAACATTTATTTTAACGTTTTTTAATTATTTTTTATTTTTTTTT